TCTCATATTGAAGCATTTGTTATCACAACGAAAAAAAAATACACATTTTATACAATTGGATTAAATAAACATAGACATAATTTAGACATAATTTTAAGATGGAAAAAGTATTGTAGAGTTTTTGAAAACAAACATGGAAATAAAAATAAAAATGAATAAATATCTCATACTGAAGCAATTATTAACGTATTAAAAAAATATTTGGATGAAAATGATGATAAACATCAACATTTTGAACAAATGAAATTCCTTATGAACAGTAATATTGAAAAAATATTTTATGTCCCCGAATAAGTTGAACATGCATAAATATAGCTTACCTTCTTCATGTAAAAATAGATTGATGGAAAAAAATGTCTAGGATACAGAAGTATCAATGTATGTTTATAAAATGTATACACTATAAAAAATATTGTTCCTTTTATTTTAAATGTTGTGAAAAATATTATCCATGTCATTTTTCTCACAATAAAAATCATTTTGCAATAAAAAAGTCAATCCAAAAGACATTTCCTGGATAATATGTAATTTTTGTGGATTTGAGCAAAGAATTCATCAATATTGTATCCAGTGTAGAAAAAAGTTGGCTGACTATTTTTGTGTGGATTATAATGATTATTATTCGAAAGATCCTCATCATTGGGTAAAATGTGGTACTGGTAGAATTGGATCACATAGATCATTTTATTGTGATATTTGTGAGATCATTTTATAAAATAATACTCCATTTTGTTGTTTAAATCAATTTCATTGTTGAGTTGTTTTAATTCATCAAGTAATTTTTTCTTTTTTCAAATAGTTTAGTTAAAAATTTATTTCATCCTCATTATTACATATGATATTTCCTTTTAAAAGTGAATAAAACTCTCTACTAACACAATTTTCTTTGCTGTTAAAATAAAGCATATTGCAAGAGTATTCAGGTTTATTATTCTTTGTGTATTGATTTCTTTGTGTATTCTTCAAGTTTTTTTTGTGAGGTCGTCCTTTCTTTTTTCATACTTTCAGTAACATCCATCAATTTCCTTTTTTTCTATCCAATCAGTATTATTCTTAGGAGGACTTGTAAATACTTATTTAGGATGAGCAAATACTTGATCTTGAACCAATTGTTCAGGTTGATTAATTTCATCGTTTTCTAATTCTCTTATAATAGTACCTGGTGTGGGTACATCGTAATAATTTAAGAGAGTTATAAGTGTTTGGTGACATAATACTTGTGTCTGTAATTGGAGACATGATATTCATAAGGTTCATAAACGCATGGTTTTTAGGAGAAATTTTTGATGAATAAACATTCTGAATCATGCTTAGAGGACTGATTTTTGTATATTATGATGTAGTATTCAAAGAAGATTTTTTTTGAATAAAATCTTTAGTAATTTGCGATTGTTCAGAATTTATTTTGCCATCACTTTCTTCTTATAAATCTTCTTCCATAGGCTGTGGAGACTCTAGTGACAGTGATGTACGATTTTAATTTTCATAGTAATTTGTCTCAGTATTATATTTCCAATTCGGTAATGGTGTTTGTAGACTTACTTGCTCATTTCCTCTTTGTTCTTCTTGAATTTGATTTCTTTCCAAATTGATGATTCAATTTGTAGTTATAGTTGGGAACTTTTATAGTTGGTTACTAATTAGGATGCGTTGCATTTTTTGACTTCAATCAAGAGCTACTACATGTTTTTATTACCCTATACGGCTACTATTTGCATGATGACTTTGAACGTTTCATATTATTTGCATGCTTAAATATTGTTTGTTTTTTTTTACAATTTTATAAATTTTTTTAATGATTTGCCTTTCTATTCAAAAAAAATTTTGTTTTTTTATATGAAATGCAAAATTCATAAGAAATTCATTAATTTATGTGAAAAAATCATCTATTGCTCATATATAAAAGAAATGTCGTTTGAAATCATATGCATTGAATATCTAACGTATCATAGATTTGTTGAACTTGTTTTATGTTGTATAATGGAATCAGAAAAATCAACTCCAAACACATCAGAAAAATCAAGTCCAAACATATAAATTTGGCAGAAAAGAAAAATTTTTTATATGTGTGAAGCACAGATCTTATAATATGCTAGATACAAGTTGAAGCCAGAATACGCAATTACATCGCCGTTTAACTGATTTCAAGTGTAGCTCAATTTGAAAGCATCAGCAGCGATGAAGGCTTAAGATACTGGACTTTGCACATCTAAATATCGTATCACAGCACAATCTGCAAAAGCGTGGCTTAGTTTGTGTGGCAAATATACACTGTAAATTTTAGGGAGTAAAAGTTATCTTTTTTTAGGGTAATATTTACTAGCTTCAGATGGGTAATTGACTAAAGGGTAATATTTTGTCTAAAATCTTGGGTGGCTTGCTATCCGTGGTTTAAATTTTACCCTCAACATAATGGTAATGTTTACAATGACCCTCTTTGGGTGTAAATGCAACATGTGGGTGTAAAAACTACCCCATGCGTTTGGTGTGATGCCAAGTGCAACGCATTTTTTAAAATCAACATGGCGCAATTAAGCAAAAGTGAAAGAAACATGCCTCCTCGTCAACAGAGTCCAAACCACTTTGTCGGAATATTAACATTTATGGTCTATTTCTCCAAGATTTCTTGAAGAAAGTAAGTATATCATATACAGTACCGCTCGCGTATTTGTTAACATACGCTACGCGTATGATATGCGTATCATACGAAAAATATACGCGTATGATACGAGAACGATACGCGTATGATACGAAAAGGATACGCGTATGATGAGCGTATAATGCGTGAACGATAAGCGTACGTATGATACGAGGATGAAACGCTGTGATACTTGATTGAACTTTGTTCATCGTAATGAGCGGCACTATGGTGACATATAGATGTCATCAATATACACTTAAGAAATTTTCACCATGAAGGAGTTAAAAGGAAGAATAAAACAATTGGGTTTTTATAAATGATACCATTCAAGTTCATGTATGTTATGCATTCATAAATTTTGGGTTGCTTTAGTTTCAACGAAATGTGTTTATCTCACGTCGTATCTAAGTATACATATGACTCATCAATGACGTATATAGTTTGTGACACATCCTATGAAAACGGAAAGTAATTGTGATTAGCTGGTTTTGAGATTCATTCAAAGTTGCGTGTGCTATAAACATAAGAAACGACACACTAACAATTGCTTTGTAGCACAATGATGACATCAAAAATTATGTTAACAAATACGCGAGCGGTAGTGTATATATATATATATTGATTTATAGTATATTTAAATAACATGACGTAATGTAAGAGTTGTAAACAAATACTTAATACATGCTCTCATTACTCTGAAGCTCTGAACTCCGTTGTATCTTGAATAGCCTCTTGTATAAATAACCATTTAAGATATTTGCGTACTATGGAAAAGGCTGCATTTAGGTCATTTTGGCAAAATGACCTGGAGATAGAATCTTAACAGTCTAGGGTTCCGACTATTTTTCTTTTGAGTACGTTTCTCTTTACGATTGTTGCTCTTGATCAATTCAAATGCAACAGAGGTTGTGTTTTGTTTCAATGGGAAACATATTTTCCTACTAGAGAAGGTTTATGCTTCTGATTATGTTTTAATTCATATTATGCTCGCCTTTTAATTCAACATAAAAATGCAAAGTTTTGTTCCTTAAATAACAGGTATTTGATATTTTGGACACACAAATATTTTGTTTTGCCCATGAACTGAAATATTAATCAAATGCAGTGGCAATGGGTATAGTAGCTCTTGCTGTTTAATTATCTGTAGCTCAATTGTGTCAACCATTTCATATGCACTGAAATGCTCATGAAATTTGACAGTTCCAAGTTTCTGAGTAATAAACCATGCTCTTTCCAAATTCCTTTCTACCACCAAAATCTCTTTCAATATCACAAAACATGGCATTTCTTCATTGTCATGACTAACCCACAAAACAGATCCAGCTTTGAATTTCTTACCATGAACTGAAATCCATTTTGGTCTAAAATATTGAGAAAAACAATTTGTATTTTTGTTCTGTAAATCTACTTAATTGAATTAGTGCATTAATAACTAACTGCCAAAAGCTAAAAAAAAACTAGGAAAAGGAATGTTCAATCATGAAAATTGCAAATAGTCATTATTTGTATAAATTTTTCTTAAAATTACATTTTTTACTTCTTTATACATGAACAAGTATGTGCAATAACTGCATTTTACCTGAATTTTTCAAAAATTACGTTTTCAATTATTGATAAAAGCTTTGCCATGCTTATTTCACTTAAGTTTCAGTGAGTATTATTAAAGTATACCTGGCAATAGAAGTAGTTTGATGTATGAAGACATCCTGGTTGCTTAATAAGTCATAGTTTTCATGATCTCCTGCATATAGTATTGGACCTTTAAATTTAAAAATTTAAATTTACATTTGTAATTCATGCTCATTTCTTGCTATAGCTCCTTTAACCCTATATTAACCCTTGTTGCAAATATGCTACATTGGGCAACACTAAAGAATTCCTACAAATTTTGCAATATTTTTTAACTTTATTCACCAGTGTAGATTTTTTGCTACATGTTTGATGCTAATTTATATTAATAAAGCATGTAACCCCCCCCCCCAGCTACTATTTTTTACAAATCAAACATGGCGGATCACGAAAGAAGGCATGTGCGACAATCTGAGGCAATTTTAATTGCATTTACTGTTTTGAAATATGATGATTTGTTCCAAAACCTTTGATATTTTCAAACAAGGGCCTTCTCTAGACATTTCGTTTCATCTTTTGTTCTGAATAAATGCATCTTTATGTTCATAATTTTTCAATGAAAATCCTTGTTCCAAATCTGCTACATTGGTCAATAATTGATAAAACGAACTACTTGAAGTATTTATTGTAAGTTGAGTTTTTGTTAAATTTATTGAAATATTGCCTATTTAAAATCAATCTTATGATACTTTTAACATATTAACTACTGTATAGAATGAAATTTCATACTATGGCTATGGTTTGTTCTAAATATTAGTTGATACATTTTATAAATGTATTGATCCATATATGTTTTTTTAGATGTCAAATCGCTTTGAAGATATAAGTGAGATCATTGATTATGTTATCGGTTCAGAGAGTGAGTTGAGTGATTTATCTAGTGATGATGAAGTAGATGAATGGCAACCACCTGGTGATGACAGCCAAGTTGCCAAACAACATGATGATAACATGGATATCCCGGCTACCATTCCTGATGATGAGGGTACAAGCATTGATCATCGTGCTACAGTTTCTGAAGAAGTGCCCCATGGCTCAACTGCAAGAAGAAAAGAAAAACCAAAAAATTTATATAAGTTTGACAAGCGAAGAGCATTTGTTCCACCTTCAAACCTTGAATTCACAGATGCACCACTTCAACCTGAACCCAAAGATGACAGTCCCTACAACTACTTCAAATATTTTGTGACCAGCAACATGTTTGAATATTTGGCTGAAGAATCCAATCATTATGCCCATCAAAAAGCAGGGTTTTCACTACAAGCATCAGCATGTGAACTTGAAACATTTGTGGGTCTGTTTTTTTCATATGGGATTGGTGCAAATGCCTGCTGTTGGTTGCTATTGGGAAACATACATCCATTATAATCCAATAGCTGATGTGATGTCAAGACAGCGGTTTCAAAAGCTTGCTTCCTATATGCACATTGCTAACAACCTAACAGTAACGGAGGAAAATAAGAATGATAAAGTCTGGAAGATAAGGCGATGGTGTGATGATTTAAATTCAAACTTTTTGAAAGTTAGTCCATCTGAAAACCAATGCATTGATGAAGTTATGGTTGCTTTCAAGGGAAGATCAATACTAAAGCAATATCTTCCAAAGAAGCCAAGAAAATGGGGATTCAAGCTTTGGGCTCGATGTTCATCAACAGGGTTTTTACATGTTTTTGATATTTACCAAGGAAAGAATGCCAGAACTGAAGAAGAAAGTAGTGTCTCTGGATGTGGATTGGGTGGAAATGTTTTGAAGTTGTGTTCAACTCTTCCAACAGAAAGAAACTTCAAAGTCTTTGCTGACAATTTTTTCTCCAATTTTGAAATGGTTGCTGAACTAGAAAGAAGAGGATTACATTATGTTGGTACAATCAACAACAATCGTCTTCATGGGGCTCCTCTTAAATCAGAGAAAGAATTAAAAAAACAGGGGAGAGGGTCAGAGGACAGTGTTGTCGAGACAACAAGAAATCTCTCTTTGGTTCGATGGTATGATAACAAGTGTGTCACAATGATCTCCTCCTATATTGGTAATCAGGATGGTAATAATGTACAGAGATATGATAGGTCAAAGAAACAGCATATTAGTGTTAATCAACCATCGATTATTGCGGTTTACAACAAATCAATGGGAGGAGTTGACCTTATGGATATGCTGTGTTCGCTATACAAATATAAGCTTAGAAGCAAAAGGTGGTATATTTACATCTTTTATCATACTCTCACAATTGCACTGGTAAATGCATGGCTCCTATACAGAAGAGATTGCAAAATTCTTAATATCAGAGCAATGCCATTGAGAAAATTTCAAGCTATGGTTGCCTTTGCCCTGTGTAATGTAAACAAACCACAACGTGGACGTCGGTCAATAGAAAGTGCAAGAAAGAAGAGAAAAAAATCAGTAAATCCAGCACCAGTAGAAGACGTTCAATTTGATGGTGTTGATCATTTGCCCATTTATGCAGAGAATGCCGAAAGTGCACGGATGGATTTTCACTTGTTATGTGTGGGAAGTGCAAGGTTCATTTATGCTTGAACAAAAATCGTAATTGCTACACTGCATATCATAGAAAGACATGCTAAAATTAATGTTTTAATGGCATATATTATGTTTTTTTAGAACTAAAACTATTCACTGAACCTTGAGGCTACTTACAATATATATTACCTGAACATAATTAATGTTAGTTTACACCTTATTTACCAATGTAGCATATATGGTACAATAAAGAAATTCTTGGAAAACATGATAAAATGATTTTTTTCTTTTTCGTATGGTTAGTTATGCAAAAAATAAAGTGATAACCAAAGAAAATTTTTTTTCAGAAATAATTAGTCACTATGGTTAATATAGGGTTAAATTATTTGCTGTACCTAGTGCAACTTCAATGCCTTTTTCGAGAAATCCTAATTCATGATTGCCAGACTGCAACTTATAGCAAACCCATTGTTGGTGTCGCATGGCCAAAGTAAATGGTGAGTTTGTGTAGTTACCAATTACAGTGCTCAACTTCTTAAAAAAATGGTGTTTTGCTTCAAATTGCATGCACCAAGCGCGAACTAGAGGGCCCATTCTACAAGTTTTAAATATGGTACCTTGCTATTTGATATCTATTGAAGGGAATACTCTATTACTGTTTGATTTTACAATACCTGATTATAGCACTAGGAATGTGGACCATAAAATGCCTTGTTGGAATTATGCTGTAGTGGGGATAAAGCTCCTTGAACTTATTGTGGTGGTCATTGATTAGGACTTGAAGATTTGCCACTTCATCTTTTGATATTACAGGTGAAGAGCAAAGAGATGTGATTTGTAGCAAACTAAGAAAAAGTTTCCATCGGTCATTTTCTGGAGGAACAATATTTCCAATTATGAGTGGTAAGTGTATTGCCAAGCACCACATCTGAACAGCTGCAATCAATTATAATAAAAACACATACCTCAGCTATCTAGCTGTTGGAACTACATCAACATATTACGATAATAATTATTATAAGCCATTGTGCATTTCCAACGAACAACATACCATGTTGTTTTAAACTGTTGTCATTTGATGATAACTTTGCTTCTGTTATTGGTGATGGTTTGTTGGTGTCATTGTAATATCCAAAGTCGTATTTTGCAAATTTTTCATTCAATGTATCCAGAGTGAAATAACGTTCCTCTCTTATATAATTTTTTAATAATTCCTTTGTTTCGTATTGCAGAATCCCCTCTAAAATGTCATGCATTATGTCTGGTGGTAGGCCACCAACAACATGGTAGTAGCTGCTTAGAGTTAGGATTGATGTACGGTTGATGCCATACACTTTACTGAAGTGTTCGCCATACTGTACAGCTTGAAAAGCATGGGTGTTATAGTTTTCTTTTGTTCTCAAAACAAAGTAATAATTGCGTTATTGTATGTAGAGTAACCACTAACTAATCCAAGTTTGAATTAAGTTGATAGCTGCTGCAATGAGATAAATTTGTATAAAAAATTAAAGCTCAATTTCATATCAGAGAAACTATTATTTTATTCAGTGCTCAAAATTAAGGCCGATCAAATGACAGTAACCAGTTAATAATGGCTGTTGACAGGCCATTATTTTATCTATTTTTTCTTTCAACTGCACATACAGCCTTTCTAAATTCGTTGAACTTTTAAAGTTTAGAATGTGGAAAATATGATTTCGAAGAAAATTTCGTAAAAAAAAATGAAAGCAAAGTTTTTGGCCGTTCGAATTAGCTTGCTTTTGAGAAATTTCAGCGCCTATGAGGGGACTTAAGACGAGAGGTTTGTGATGTCATTTAAGGAATGTATGAATGCGCTGCATACAAAACCACACAGTGTGAAATAACAATTCTTTATATATTGCTTTGAAATTAATATAAAAATTGTACAAAACATGTCGACATCCGATTCTGAGTCGAGTACAGCAACAACAGCGGAAAATATTGAATTGAACAGTCGGGAATTCGATTTAGACGACGAAGATCAATCGTCATCAAATGCGCTCCGAAACACCGACGGCGATTTTGAGTACGGCCAAGCTGCAGCATATGAAAACGAACCACTTGCTGATGATGAGTGGTTAGAAAACTATAATAGAGAGACAGAAGAACAAAAACGCCAAACAGAAGAGCTCGAATGCAGAATGCAAAATGAAGTTCCTCTTGATTCTTGGTAAGAAAAGTTGGAAAATTTGTTTATTTATTGTTGCCGAAGTTTTGACAGATAACTTTCTTAGATGCAATTGTGGTAACTGCCGTGTTCCTCTCTTGGTTAATCCAAAAGAATGTAGATGTTGCCACGAAATTATCAATTGCAAGATCATTTGGTGGTATCCAAATTAGGAAGGCAGCCAAAATGCATCACAGAGCATCCAGGATTTGATGCCATTTGCCTCAATCAATGAGCATTAAATTTAGCTGTCAATCTTTACGTTTGTATGGAGTTAAATATCGTAAAGGATTCTTGGAGCAAAGGTTTGTTACAATTAATAGTTAAATGCTTCCGTCTGGGTTATCTATGAATGCACACTTGCAAAATTTGTATTTTATGGACTCCTACCTCTTTTAATGGACCTTGTGTATTATGCCTTTTCAGGTCTTTTCGAGTTGTTGCATATAGGCAATTTACAAGAATGGTACATGGCATTCTTCGAGACAAAAAAATTCCACTTCCAGCTTGTGCTTACCATGTTATTCGAACAACTTTTAATTTTAGAAAAAATGAACACTTTGCAGGGTATGAAAAGGACAATTTGTAAAATAACATAACATTACATATTATTTTAGGTGTTGTGTGCTTGAGCCCAGCTAGTAGGGATCCAGTGAAGTGTGGAATATTAGCCACTCTTGATGTATTGCATCTTCGATTCACACTTATTCTTGTTATACAAAACGTACAAAATTACAATTTTTTATTCTTTCCATGCAGTCATTTCACACTTCACTGAATCTCAACTAACTGGGCTCATACCACCAGCTCCTAAAAAAAGTGGTTACTTTTGGTTTTTTGGACAGTTAACTATATTTTTATGGCTTTTCATCCAATTCTTGCACACAGTGCATCAAGGTGCTGCTCTCTCATTTCTCTGATCAGCGATTTTTTCTTGGACAGGTGATACTTCAGCTATATCAAACAATTAAGTGAGTCAGTTCCAAAAGTAAGATTCAAATTCACTCAAAGCAAGTAATGCCTTTTTGTTAAACCTGGCTTAGTTAGGGGAAAATGTACAGCTGGCATGCTTTGTCTTCTTGCTTTTTTTGAGATAGCTTCACTTTTTGATTGCTTGTCCAACATGGAATTCATTGGCAATGGAGTCATTCATAAAGATCACCTTTGGCTTTTCTCAATGTTTCCTCATCAATGAGTGCAGAGCACAACACTTGATATATATCTTCAACATACCCTGGAGGAGCAATGTGCAAATTATTCAAAATTTTATTTTATGGTAATCATTTCTTATTAAGGCTTTCATTATTATGGCATTTAACACATGATATCAGGCAGTAGGAGAAATATATTAAATTACCTTACCAAAATCCTGAGCAACTTTTACATTTCTTACAACAGCTTCACCATTTGTAAATTTTGGATTGTGCACTTTAACCTGGGGAACTCCATTAACCTCTTGATTACCCCCTTCCAAATTGCTTTCGAAGTGAGTTACAACAAGGATATGCCTTCATGAAATATAAAATTGCATTCAATTTCTTGTAAGAGTTTAAATTGGCACAAGGGAATAAAAACTGTAATGATACATAGGTGTTTCATCACACATGTTTCATAGAATACCTGCAGAACATTCCAGGAAAAGAGTAGCTTATCATTCTGATAATACAGGCTCATCACAAGTTGTTTCTTCTATTTGCTCTTGAGGTTCGCTACTTGTACTGGGAATATTTTCTGATTCAACCTGTCTTTTATAATCAGACATCCACTTTCTTTTCATCTAAAATGACATATATTTATGAAATATACTCTCACACAGATTCCAGGTAAAATGTAGATATGCATATGTATAATGTTTAACGTACTCACCATTCCGCGATCTCTTGTTTTAAGTTCATTGTCATCTTTTCGAGGATAAATGCCAGGTAAGCAACCATTCCGAATTCGTGTTGAATGAGTCGAGGTGCAAAATTACTTTCTGATTCAGAAAACGAGCCGAATTGCCGAGAAAACGAATCTTTCGTTAAGTGTTCCGAGCAAACTGCGGAATTCTTTGTGGGGACTCACTTATCGCGAGTAGCTTTCACAAAGTTGACCCGTCGCTTTCTCCTACGCTTAGCTTTGCTTCTTTCGTCGTTAAAAAATGGTATGCGATGAAGTGAAATGCCTTTCTCCGAACTGGCTACGTTAGAACAACCAAAAACTACACATCGATCTGGCATTTTTGTGTTTGTTTACATGCATAAACAGTGCAAGTTGTTTTGGCAGTCAGTTTGTGTTCCTTAAATGACGTCACAAGTAAGTCCCATGTCACGGATTAGAGCTCTCGACATTTTTTACAAAATGTTGAAATTCAGGTGTTATTCGCATCTTTGCAGAAAGATAACTCAAAAACCAAAAAAGTTATTCAAATTCTGTAAACGGCATTTGTATTATTTATCCAAAATCTATTTGAGAATAAAAAACTAAAAATAGTTGTATGTACACTTTCAGTGTTCGGTTGAAATTTTCAAAGTCAATTAACGAAGTCTTTCTTAAACATGAGCTTTGTCTGCCCTTACATAGGTGTAACTAATTTGATTCTCTTTTTATGAAGTGTTCTAATAAATTTGTTTGGTTCATCAATCAACATCTTTAATGTCATATTTACCAGACCCCATTCGGCCGTAATTTATCGCCTTAATTTTATTGAATAAATGCTCAAGATGTTTTTTATACCTTTGTTTTCAATTCTTCAGCACTAGCAAGACAATATCGACATGGCTTGTTTGCACTGAAACTCACTTTAAATCCTCCTTACAACTGTGCCCCAAGATTGTCAGCATATGTGTATGCTATGGATCCAAAAACGGTCTCATCTACACCTTTAATGTTGAAGGATTGACCACTTTTCTGAAAACAAAGTGGAAAAGTAGAGTTGTTTACTTTATTATGCTGCTGTGTGAGCTTGAGTATACCTTTTCTAACCTTTTTAAATCAGTAACGAATGGTTTAAATACTGCATCAATTCCATACTCTTTAATGTTAGACGTTTTGCATAGACACAGAAGCTGAATTGCCTTCATCGATGACCGATTAAAGGGATTAATATTACCCAGTGTATAGTAGAATGCTCTTAAAAATTTAAATGTGTAATTATGAAAGTTCTAATTTAATAATTTCGTGTTTGATTAATTTATTTTACTTTACCAATTTTATGTTTAGTTGCCCTCAATCCAAGCGGATTGCATGTTTCTAAATTGTCGTAATACAACATAATCTGAAGAGCCTCTGTTTTTTTCGAAATTTGAACTGATGACCATCACAATAGTCTCTCAGAAGGCCATCTGAACTGATGTGAGGATTTTTGACCTAAAATTTAGAGGTGAAAGAAATAAATTCTAAGAAACATCATTGTGAAAATGATAATATCTCAAGTGAAATCATCGTAACTGCAACTTTTCCAATTTGCCCTAATGTATATTTGACTTAACTATTATTTAACTTCAAAGACCATGCACCTGACCTCTGCTAAAATGAAGTCATCATATAGAAGCTGTTGCAGACTATCCAAAAGTGGTATATAATATGCCTCATCATTTACTTGAATTTGCTGTAATACACCATTTCTTCTTTTGAAGACTCTCTTTTGACCCAGAATAATTCTACGTGGTTCCTGTTTAAAAAAAGCAAAGACGTCCACGAAAAGCTTTTTCATTGTTTTATCATATGTTTCTGCGTTCTCGTTAATAAATTGTAATACCTTTAATCCAAAATTGTCTTTGTAAAAACGTCGTTGTTGTGCTTCAGTTTCCAAGTTTTTGAATGGATTGGCTATTGTGTTGTTCTTTTCAAAAATCTCTTGCAGCTCAGGCACATTTTGATACGAAATACTTTCATTACCTAATCGCCTTTTTACTTGTGTTTCCACCGTTTTTAATGTGTCTTGAATGAGTGATTTTGTGTTTTCTATAATACTTGTAACAGTAGTCTTCGGCATCAAGAACTCTTCTTGTATTTTGAGAATATATAATGCAGCCAATCTGGTGTTTTCTATGGTATCGATATTCTCTTCCAATACTACGCCTCCATTTTCATCATTTTCATTATTATTTCTTATGTTTGTATGCTCCTCAACATTATTTGGCTGCGATGAATGCTCTTTTTTTACATGCGTTCGCCAAGTATAATAACTTTTAAACGTTCTTGTACAACCACTTATGCCACACAAACAATGGAAATTTGGATCATTCCTGTGACACCTTCCAATATGGTTTATCAATTGACTGCAATGTTCAGCAGAAAAATCTCCACATATATTGCACTGCCAGGGCATGAAAGCGTCGATGTATATGTAGGTATGGCAAATTTTCCTTTTATTGTCTTGTTTATCTTAAAAGCTTGAGGTTTTTCAGTCCATTTTTAAAAGCCGTTATTTTACAAAGCTTCTTGTGACTTCTTTCCAAAGTACCGGAACAGTGTTTATCCCAATAACCACGACAAGCAGACAATTTCAAGTAATACAAAATAAAACAAATAAAAATCATAGCTAAAAATAATTTGTCCAGACGCCAACTACATCTCACACTTTTTCTCACTTCCTGACGTTGATTCCGACCACGATCTCACATGCGTGCCACTTAATCCTTGTAATTTGATTCCAAGTAACACCAAAATCTTATATCGCTGTAAAAATAATAATCCTAATGAACTTCACATCTTAGAAGCACTTTTGATAAAATGCAATATGCCACAAATTAATAGTGGTCTCAAAGCGTGTAAGAAATTATCTCTATTTTAATGTAAGTATACTGCCTGATTGTGAAGTCTTATAGTTCTCTAAGTACATAACTGTCATTTCTGCTTGTAAAGACATTTATAGCATTGTATTCTGTAAATGAAACTGTTTTGCTGTGTTGTTTTTTGGCAGGATGGACAAAAATTTGAGGGAGAAACTCGTTAATTCCGGCGTAGAAGAAGCAACAGTTTCTATATTGGAAAATGAAAAAGTAAGTGAAGTGCATCTTGCATAAATCATAATAAAGTAAATGGTTTGAACCCGGGAGTATCGTTACAAACATATAAATACCCGGGAGTATCATTTACAAACATATAAATCATAATGTTAAATATCGCATTGATTTCCAAACTCTCTATCTAGTTGAATGACTGTTTTATATTAAATGAAGCAGATATCAGTGTTTTAGTTTTGTGTGGAGTTAAGGCAGGTGATGCAATGCGAATTAAAAAAATTTGCGCAGAAATGGTGGTTCAGAACAAAGACACGACAACAACAATGGTAAGTGTTCATGCTTGTGTGTTGTGTATAAAATAATATTCATGTGTCACCCACAGTGACTATGATTGATTGACCTTGACTGGTCATATTGCTGGTCACAGGAAGTTTATAATCACTCATAACTCCTTATCACAGACAGTCTTGAATCAAACTGGTATGTTTGTTAGGCTAAAAACTAAACTTAGGATGTTTTGTATAAGTGCGCTTGTTCCAGTCTTCAGTTGGAAGTTCGGACTGATGTGGATGACGCCCTGATGGAAAACGACAATACAAAAAATAGCACACTGCCATTACCCTTTGCATACCAAGAAAAACGAAACAGGCTGTATTTCAAAGACTATAAATTGCTCGAAACGGTACAGTCTAAATTCTCTCTTTACTCTTATTTTGATAAATTTAGAAACCACGGAAAACTATCGTTAAAATGTTTTTTTTAAGAGCAAGTTCTTTTTATTTTACACATATATTCATATGGACCTGTTTCCTTTACCAGTTTTCACCTGCTGCAACATCTGCTTTGGCGAATAATTGCTTGACTGGGAAACTAAGGAGAGAATTTATAAGGGATATATGTAAAGACATATTATCTCATGGCATCGCTTACATAAACAAGGAGGAAAGAAATAAAGTTTCTTTGGCAATTGTCACTAAATACCCTCACATCTCAAGGATGCTATAGGAAGTGGATTGGTATGTCATAACTCATAGAGTAATTAAACGTACAAGTATATTTAAATTTTGCGAAGTGATCTTGCATGACAGTATAGTTAGCACAAACTTCTTTTACCACAAACGACGACAGGCAAGCATTTCTGCCTGAATTTGAACTTGTGTTTAGCCTGCAGGAAAGAATGATTCTGATAAGCAAGTTTTTCTATGTTCCTTTACTGCAAGAACAATCAATTTCCCATGAAAGAATTAAATGATGCTCTGTTTATAGCTACAAAGCAGAACTAAAACTTTTAATCTAGTTAGATCACTGCATGTTTCCTCACATTTATCATAATGATCAAAGTCAAAGAATGTCTAAGCATAAGTCAACATTCTGCTATTTAAGGAAAATGAACAAGTGTGCGCTTCTCTTCAAAATCATAAATATATACAATAAGTGGTGATTTGAAAATTTTTAGGGGTCTTGGTCTGAATCAATCAAAAATCGATTTAAACATGTTTGAGAATACGAGAACAAAAAGAAACGAAAGTCATCGACTGTTGACTTTGATCTCCAGGGCAGCGTGACTCCTCTGAAAGGAAGGCCAAGACAAACAAAAATCTGGAGCGAAGTACCATCATGCAACAACACAACGGAGACCATTCACAAGGAGCATATTTTGCACTTGCAAAGTGAATGCCGCAAATCATCATCTATTCAAGATTATGGAATTATTAAAGAATTAATGAATTCAACTTACGATATCAGACGAAGAAACATATTGACTACAGTTGTTCCTGTTGAAGATATCGTACAACAATATCCTCCTTTATCC